TCATGTCCAACTTTTCATCTCCAAGTCCTTGGCAGAGCTGCTCTCAATCAAATCTCGGCATCACAGAATGCCCCAGGGTTGTATTTCTGCAGCCAGTCCTCAAGGAAGATGCTAATGTCTTATGTTCAGTCAGCTCCCCACGCCTCTCTTCCACACCTCTCTAGGGAGGATGAGGATAGTCCATAGTATCTTTGATACACATTCCAGAGAATTTACCTTTGATACAACTCGCAGCGAATTTAGCTTTTGTGCCATGGTCTACCCTCATCCAGCCTGGCCCTGCATGCTGCCTTTGGGACTAACTGCTGATGAAAGCAATCCCATTGCTTCATCAGCTCCAGGGTTCCTCCACAGAGGTGGTCTCAACCTCAGGAATTCCCTTTTCCCTTCTGAGCAGGAGAGACACACACATGCAGAATCATGGAATCTTTTAGGTTGGAAGAGACCTTTAAGGTCGTCAAATCCAACCGTTAACCCAGCACTGCTAATACCACCACTAAACCATGTCCCCAAGCGCCTTGTCCACACATCTCAAATCCCTCCAGCGATAGTGACTCCACCACCTCCCTGGGCAGCCCATTCCAATGCCTGACAGCCCTTTACGTGAAGATATTTTCCCTAATATCCAATCTAAACCTCCCCTGGTGCAACTTGAGGCTGTTTTCTCTTGTCCTATCATTTGTCACTTGGGAGAAGAGCCCACCTCCAACCCCTCTGCGTCCTCCTTTCAGGGAGTTGTAGAGAGCAATAAGGTCTGCCCTGAGCCTCCTCTTCTCCAGGCTGAACACCCCCAGCTCCCTCAGCTGCTCCTCACGGGAACTGTGCTCCAGACCCTTCCCCAGCTCCATTCCCTTCTCTGGACATGCTCTTTCTTGCAGTGAGAGGCCCAAAACTAGTAAGAGACGTGACAGCCTCACAACCTGGGGAAGGGAGCAACTGGAAGAAAAACCTCATATGAAGACCTTTGGATGGCAGGAGAATCCCTGCAGGTAATCCTTTCCCTCAGGGACAGATACCATCTGGCAGAGCAGCAGAGAAGGTATGAAGGCAGAGGGACAACTTCCAGGATTCTCACACACTACACTTACTTTCGGAGGGGGTTAACTATTTCATCCCGCAGAATGCTCTGGACATTCCTGTCACACAGTAGGAAGGGCTTGAAGAGCATGGAGTCCAGCACGGACGTACAGGAGAAGAGGCTGTGAAAAGAGAGAGCTGTGTAACTCTGATGGGTTTACAGCCATCGTTAGAACCAAACCCTTGTGCCTGGTGACAGTCGGTGGCTTTTGTTGTCAACAGTCCACGCACGCGATTACAAAGCGTGAGCGACAGTGTGTCACTCACGGATAAACCTCATCTGGTTTAATCAACACTGGTAGTAAGCATAGAAACAGCTCAGAGAGAATGAAATCTCATCCTCTGCAGCCAAAACTGCTCGGGGGGGGGCACCACTGAGTCTCTTCCTCTCCAAACAGGGCTGCACAGTGAAGCTGGGACTTCCAGTTTCTTTGAGATGTTTCCAGCCCCTCCAGTGACAGCCAGCACGGCCCAAGTCCGGAGAACTACGATGTCTTGCTGCGCCATATGACAGACACACAAGTACCTTAAGTACTCACGAGGGGTTCTTCAGGGCCTGAGAACCTACCAGATTAGGAAGGAGATCAAAAAGCAGCAAGCGTCGAGGCTGCATCTCCACACAGTTACATTCTGCTCTATACTGGATAAATTTCCAGCCGCCACGGAAATCCAGGGAAGTGCCGCAGTTTAGGGCTCTGCCCAATTGAAAACAACACTCATTTCATGAAAGAGCACCACCCAAGCACGTCCTTACCTGAAGAGGGCTGCATCCATATAGCAGGAATTACAGTGCCCTTGGATCCCCTTCATCCGCCCTCGCAGGACATGCACCGCTGCCTCGTTCCTGAGGGGAGGAAAACTGTCCCCAACCTGTGGAAGAACTTCCTGCCCTCCTGCAAAAGAAGACACAGAAGCAATACCCTTCAGCTTCCCACCTTGTCTGGGTCAGCTCTGCCCTTCCCCGATGCCCCAGAGCTCTGCTCAGAGGTCGGCACCTTGCTCCTCTGTGCTGGGACGAAGACTTGTCTCTTCAGTGGTTCATTTATTGGAAACGAAGACAAAACCAAACCATCTCTTCTTCACCAGATCCACGCCCCAGCAATCCATACCGCCTCTGGCATGGCAAGTAACAAAGGCAAAAAGAGCTACAAACAAGCTGGCGCTGTGCTGTATGGTGGATGCAAAGCTGGCCAGGAGCCGGCCGTGTGCGCTGGCAGCCCAGAAAGCCAACCCCATCCTGGGCTGGATCCGGAGCAGCGTGGCCAGGGGGGCGAGGGAGGGGATTCTCCCCCTCTGCTCCGCTCCGGGGACACCCCCCTGCAGTTCTGCTCCAGCTCTGGGTCCCAACAGCAGGAGGACACGGAGCTGCTGGATGAGAGTCCGGAGGAGGCCCCGGAGATGCTGCAAGGGCTGGAGCCCCTCTGCCCTGGGGACAGGCTGGGG